TGGCTTGATAGAGATGGTGAGGAAAAGATTCTGGATGTATTTTGATGGTAGAGCCAACAGGATTTCCTGAGGATTGGGGTGTACGGGTTAAAGAGAGAAGAGTCAAGGGTCCTTTGGCCTGAGCAGTTGGAAGAATATATTAGGCTGAACGAAATGAAATTATCAATATTTGATGACTCTTAACCTTAAAAGGCAATTTCATATATTTTGACTTAATAGTTGCCATTTACTGAGATGGGGAAAAATATGTGAGGAAGAGGTGAAGAGGTGGTATCAGAAGTTTATTTTGGGGCATAAGGAGATGTTGAACAGGCAGCTGTGTATGTGCATCTGGAGTTCAGGGGTGTCTCAGTCTTTTTTCTGTTGATGTAACAATACCACAGACAGAGCCCTCATGACCTAATCACCTGTTAAGGGTTCCACCTATTAATACCATTGCATTGGCAATTAAATTTCAACATGAGTTTTGGAGGGGACATTCAACCCATAGCAAGGGGCAAAGGGCTCATATAAGAAATGTACATTAGAGAGTCGGTTAAAGCTTTGAGAGTGGATGAGGTCACTTAGGTATTACCTGTAGATAATGCAGAGCAGAGGCCTGAGGACTGAGCCTGGGGCGCCCAGCAGGTCCAGATCAGGGCGGTGAGGAAGCAGGGAAGGACAGGCCACACCTGGCAAAACAAGGGCTCTACACAGGGCAGCTGGCCCAGGTGAGAGCTCACTCAACATAGGTGTGAATAATTTTCAACCCCGCTCCCTCCTTGAGGTTTGGCATTGGGTAGTTTGTGTCTAGGGGTACATGACAACACCTTATACATATGACTAGCACTTTGGAGGTTGCATCATCTATTTGATCCAGGCAAAGATAGTACAGGTGCTATCATCCTGTTTTACAGATAAGGAAACTGAGGTATAAAGGCTTGGTGACTTGCCCAAGGTTATATCAATACTAAATAGTTCTGGGACTGGAAGGGATCATCTGTATCTAAGTTCCATGCTCTTGCTGAATCATGCTGCATGTTCCTAAGCTCTCACTACTTCTCTGGGGACAAACTGTGACAAGGTTACATGGAGATGACTTGAAATGGGTTTTAAGCTTTTATTTCCACAGCAGCAAAGAAACTGCTGATACAATTACCTTCTCCAAGGGTCTGGACCTGTGATCCCAGATGCCAAGAAGTCCAGTTCACTATGAACCACTTTCCTGATGATAAATGGTCAAACAGAATCAGGGGGCCTTTTATGGGTGATTTTCACACTTGGTGGGGACAGCTATAAATTCACTTTGGTTCCAGAGCCATTGGGGTTAACAGGTAACTTCAGAGACAGAGCAGCTTCTGGGCTGGGCTCTTCTACTCATTCTACCAAATAACCAGTTTCATCTTACTCCCTCTCAGTGTTTTGCTCAGAGCATCATATTCTCTCCAAACTTGTTTTCTTGTCTTGGAGAAGCTATCGCTGAGATGTGAGGCTTCATGGGTCAAGCTTGGCTCTGCCCTGGGCAGAGATAAACAGGCCCTGAATACATTTCCCAGATTGCAACACTCGTGAGTCAGGCAGGGCCGGACAGCTGCTCCCTCGCAGGCACCCCTTGGTTGTACCTGATAAGGAAGAACATAGCTCATTCCAGAGCACTGTCATGTGTGTACACACATATAAACAGACACTCCCAGGCCCCAGTGTTGTCTTAGAGTAAATTATTGACATTCTGAATGGCTGAAACATTGGGAAAAGAAGTGATTGCAAACTTAACCTTTGCTAAGAGGAGCTTTAGTTTTTGTACACCAAAATAAGTCAAGCCAGGGCTGTCATTTGGCTCTGCTTTGGGGGCCACTTTTTTTTTTTTGAGACAAGAGTCTTGCTTTGTTACCCTGGGATGGTAGCTCACTGCAACCTTAAACTCCTGGGCTCAGGTGATCCTCCTGACTCGGCCTCCTGAGTGCCTGGGACTACAAGCATGCACCACAGCTAATTTTTCTATTTTTAGTAGAGATGGGGTCTCGCTCTTGCTCAGGGTAGTCTTGAACTCCTGAGCACAAGAGATCCTCCAGCCTGGGCCTCCCAGAGTGCTAGGGATTACAGGTGTGAGCCACTGTGCCTGGCCTGGGGCCACCTTTTGAAGCTACCTGGTCAAGGGCAGGTTGAACTCTCGAAAGAAGAGGGAAGGATTGCAGTGGGGAAAGGAGGAGGAGTTTAGAATAGGGGAGGTAGGTTTTCGAAGGAACGAATGGCAAAATGCCCAGAGGGAAAAGGTATATCATAAGAATGTGACCATACCTTCACCACAAAGAGAGGGAATCACACCATGACATCTTCAAAAAAAGAAAAAAAAACAAAAACAAAACCCTAAAGTGAATGCCCTTCTCCTTAAATGATATGCATTGTATAAGGAATGGAGCAAATGGAAGATTGACATTAACAATTATATAATAATACCACCACAAATAACACATTACACCTTGTAATTAACACTTCACATTACCTTTATGAAAGCTTGTAGTTTACAAGGGGCTTTTACACTCCTTTTCCGTTTACTCCATCAACCCACTCAAGGGGAGGGCATTATGAGCCATATTTTACAGATAAGAAAACTGAGGCTCAGGGAGAATATAAGCAATTAACTGAGGCATAATTAAGAGCTGGGAAGGGGCAGGTTTGTCCTAAGTAGTCCAGAGCTAAGATACTTACTAAAGACACAGTAACTCCTCTTTAGGATGATTTCTTTTCAATGACTGCCCAGAAGGCTAAATCTTCGTTGTATTTCTAGGTAGAGCAGCCCTACCTTCTCCAATGGGGCAACAAGTTTCTCTAACTAAGCACTCCTTTGATTATTTTTGTGAAGATTAAAGCACCAGGGAAAATTTCTAGGCTCTACCCATGCCCTTCTTTCTCAAGTGTTCCTTCCTCCATCTGTTTCTATCTGTTCCGGACTCCACACACTCTGGGTTCTAGAAACAACACCTGAGGGTCCCCTAGGCTTGCCATCTGAGGTTGGGGGAAAACTTTGGAGGGCACTCAGACTCTCCCTTATTTGCATAGGACATTATGGAAGTACTTAACCCACCTGCAGTGGTAAGGCAAGTGTTTTGGAAGTTGCAATGTCTATTGGAATCTTAAAGGCAATGGTTCTCAAGTTTTGGCCTGCATCAGAATCACCTGTGGAGCTTGTTAAAGACATGGATGGTCAAGCCCCACCCCAGGTTTTCTGAATCAGAATTCCCAAGGGTGGGGCCTGGACAATCATGAGCTTAACAAGCTGCCAGTGATTCCGAAGTACACCAAAGCTTGAGATCCATTGTCTTAGCACTGTTGTTGGAGTTAACCACGTGAAGGACAGTGGGGAGCCATTCTGGGAGAGGAGGTAGTAGCAACAGAAGCCCAGAGAGCCTAGAGGAGACACAACCAGGAAGACAAATCTTTGGTGCATTTTTATCTCCCTGTAACAAAGTGGTCAAATAAAGGGCGTTAGAAATCTCTTCATTCAGACATGTCCTCCTCCTGATAGATTTGCTATGTGCAATTTGAAAGAGCAATGCACTCCTTTTAGAAGCAGTTAAAATAGCCCATCTTTTTCAGAACATAGAAGAGAGGTTACCAAGGGCTGGAGGGAAGGGGGAATGAATAGTTATTGTTTAGTGAGTACAGAGTCTATGGGATAATAAAAAAAGTTCTGGAAATGGGTAGTGTGATGGTTGCACAACTTGTGAATGTATTTAATGCTACTGAATTATACACTTAAATGTGGTTAAAATGGGAAATGTATGTTATATATATTTATATTACATATAAAAAATAGCCTGTCTTTTTGAGGGATGGAATGATAGGAGCAATGTTCAACTTTAGCCGATTGCTACTGTCTCAGGTGTGTGTATGTAGGTGGTTACTTAAGGGGATTCGACACACATGGTTTGACAAAGCACAAGTGTATTCATGGGAATAGGGAATGGAGAAAGCTTTTGAAAAGAGTTGGCAGTGAAAATTTGATATAAATATAAGAGATGTCCGGAACATTCTTTACTGCCTCCTTTGCGTGATTGACTCCTGGGTTCCGTATCACTTCATTTGGAGGGCCTTGTAGAGCAGTATCTCTCAAACTTCAGTGTGCATAAGAATCATCTGGGGACCTTGTTAAACTGAAAGTTCTAATTCAGAAGATCTGAGGTAAGGCCTAGACTGTATTTCTAACAAGTTCCAGGCGATGCAGACACTATAGATTCACAGACCATAGTGGGAGGGCTGTGTAAATTTAGTCTTTCTTAGTTCACCATCATATCCTCATGTCCGGCAAAGTGATTAGCACAAAGATGGTGCTTAATAAATATTTATTGAATGAATGAGTATATAAGGTTGGCGTAGGAGTTTTGGAGGCAGAACAATCTTTGTTCTGAACTACATATATTTGGGGTGTTTTTGCCTCTGTCATTCACTTTGTGAAATTACCTAATACTCCGTAGAATAAGGACATTAGTGCTAAATTATTTCTGGCTTTGCCACATGCTGCCTCAACTCTAATCCTAGAAATAGTAGCCCTATACACATGGAGCGTAATGAACCCTGGCTTGCAAGCTCAGAGGAAGACTTGCTGTGGTCTATAATCCCTATAAACAAATTCTCTTCATCCAGAGTTCCCTGCAGAGTGCAGGGAACCTGCTGAGGTGGGGATTTCCAGATTTTGGTGCCATTCTGAGTAATTGCTACCTTGGCCTCCTCCAAATCGAATAAACATCCTTTTTAACAGAGTGTGTGAGAAGGAGAGTCATTACTCTACAACACGTGGAAGTAATAATGTTGTCATTTACTTTTATCGTTTATGATGATGATAACGACACTGGCAGTTGAGCGATTAAATATGTGGGGAAGTTGGGGGAGGGGGCAGAGAGGGCTGGGAGAGGGCAGGAGAAAGAGGAACTACATCTCCCAGAATGCCCCGGGAAAGACCACGCCGCGGCGGCGCCCCACCCCTCGCCGACTGGGTCCGCCCCCTCCGATGACGTCACAGAAGTGACGTCACGGCGCCCAGAGCGAGGCTGGGGTAGGAAGGCCGACTGAGCAGGAGTCGTCCGCTTGTAGTGGAGGCTGCTAGGAGCCGGCCAGAGGGTGAGCGGGTGAGCGGGCGAGCGGGCGAGCAGGCGAGCGAGCTAGAGCAGGCAGGAGGGAGCGTCGCGCGGCGCAGAGGCGCGCCGGGGCCGGGCCGCGGCGGAACCACAGCCAGAGAGAGGCAGCCCGAGCCGGGCGCCGCGGGGTCCCCACCCCCACTCGGCCGGACAGTGCCCGGTGTTCCCCCGTGCGGGGGGCGGCGGCGGCGGCTGACGGGACCCAACAGGACCGCGGGGGTGTTGCCACCTCCACCGAGGAGCCGGCGCGGCCGCGGGCTCCTCAGAGCCGGGGCCCGGGGCCCGTGACAGACGGGCCGAGGAAGGGAGAGAGGCGGCGGCGGCGGCGACACCATGTCATCCCCCAGTCCGGGCAAGAGGCGGATGGACACGGACGTGGTCAAGCTGTATCCTTCGTGGAGGGGAAATTCGGCCTGTGTGTGTGGGGCGGTGTGGGGATGCCCAGGGCGCCTCCTGAAACCAAGCAAGGGCCCTGGGGCACTCCAGGCCACTGTCCGAGGCTCTCCTCCCTCCCCCCGAGTGCCTACGGCGGCTCCTGGGCACCTCCCAGGAGCCGACAGCCTTTTCAGCTCCCCTTTTATCTGCAACACCCCGAAATACGCGTTGCAGCTCGCTCTTCCTGCACCCCCAGTGCCCGTGACTTTCCTCCACGGCGTTTGGACTCCCAAGACGGCCTTTTTTCTTTTTGCAGGACCAGCCGTCTCTCTTCCCCACCACCGGGCCCATCTTCAGGGTCTCTCCTGTTTGCTCGCTCTGGATTTAGGGACCCAAGGTAGAAATTCCCGAGAGGGAAGCCTTTCTCTCTTTCTTGTGATGTCCCCATTTCTTCAGCTCACAATGCTACTTGAACTGGGGTAACTCAAGCGACCTCCTTTATCCCTAATTCCTTTCTATATTAGGAAGAGAGTAGCCTGCTCAGGGCCCCCTCTTCTAATAAAGAGCTCTATGTGTTTTAAATCGGAGACTCTTGTTAAGCTTTCTGGTCCCTAGAAGAACCCTGCTGTTTTCCTTTGCACTGACAAAGCCTATCCCACCCTTAGTTGTATGCGATGAGGACCCCCAGGCCCTCCAGCAAGCCACCCTCCATATTGTGGATATGACAGCTGCGGGGAGGGAGAGAAAGAGGAGCTCCTGGACAAAATAGCCACTGTACTAACCACTTAAGCAAAACTCTCTGTGAGGATAAGGTTCTTGGGGAATACTTGCCCTGATCTTGCCAAGTGACACCCTTTATTTCTATCCCCTCCCCCCAACTTTATACACTCCGGAGGTTGCAGTGGGAAAGCTATAACTGATAAGAGTCCTTCAGGCAGTGGTTTTGGTTGGAGTCCAGACTGATTATTTCATGACCAGCTAGAGAAATTCGCGAAGGTTCCTGTGACAAATCGAGGGATTATTTTTTTAAAGGAGTAATTTAGAGGGTAAGGGGAGCCCAGTGTTCTGAACAACTAATCCCTGGGAAGAGGGTGAAAGTGGGGGGCAGGGGGGTGGTAGTGTGTGGAACTTGCAGTTAAAAAGTCCTGTCTCCTGTTTCTCTTTCTGCCTCATCCCCATCCCCCCACCATTTCCCCCTGTTGCAGGGTTTTGTTTATATAACTCAAGTTGTTTGGCTAAATTCTTCAGGTGAATTCCTTCTTTCTTCCTTTTATTTGTTACCGTTTCTGATTGAGTTTTACCTCTTTGTAGAGATCAGTGATTATTGTCAAATACTCAGTTATGGGATTTGCTGAAGTTTTAAAGTAGTTTTTGCATATGGTTTGGAAGTGGGGGATGGGAGAGAAGTTGCCTGGGCAAGAGATTATTTTTTTCATAATCTTTTCAGAAATAAGGTGTTTTTCTTCTCGCTCGGGGAAAACCTGGCTAGAAATTAGGAACAGTAGATAAACTTGTAAGTTTAGGGTTTGGAGTTTAGAATTTTTGGAGGGTGGAAGTGGGGATTGGAGAGAGCAAGTAATAAAGTATAATGTACCAAATATATGTCTAGGCACAAGTGAAATCAACTCTTTATGAGCTGTTTGTGGCTGTGATTGTTTTGTAAATGTGTGAACGATACCAGTAATGTTGGCTTTTCATAAGGTTGCAGGAAAACTTGTAACTATGACTGTGTGTACATTTTACACAAAGCAGTTTCGGGTCTTATTTTTGTTTAGAAACTAGGAAATGACATGGTGGCAGAATCTGAGTTATTTTTATCCTGAATTGAGAGTTACTGTCGGACCGAATGCAAATTTCTACCTAATGTTTAATTGGGATGGAGTGGGGGAGAGAATTCCAGCTGTTTTTGATCGATGTCAGATTCTCAAATTATGTACATACATATATTTTTAAGACTGAGGATAAAGAGGGAGGCCTAACTTGACCTGATGCCTTTTCCATACAGTGCCTTTTGTTCATTTAGTAGTTGTGGCATCTAGAATGATTACCGCATTTAGGAGTCGGGGTGTGGGGGGGTGGAGAGGGAGAGGAAAACAGACAAAGAACAGCAGGGTGTCTTTTTTTCTCCCCCTAAGTGGCTTATTTCATAGCTTATTTTTAGTAGAAGATGAAGAAAGGCAAAGATGCATTGGCCTTCTGTTCTTTCCCCACCTTCCTTCTTTTTGACAAAAGAAAGCAGAGGCGCTTTAAAATCATAGATCTCTGAAATAGGAGAATAACCGTCTCAAGATTTAAAAGCCAGAGGTTATCTTTGTTTTATGTTTGTTATTTTCTGACATAACGGAGTTTGGAAGTTAACATTTTCGGATTTCCTTTTGTGTGTATGTTGTGTGGGTGACAGATTTTGTGGCCTCCTTTTTCTGTTGAATTCACATCAGTAGGCCCAAATAGAGCCAACAAATTTTGAGTAAGGTATATTTAGCAAAAAATTTAAAGAAAAATTCCCCAACCCTCTACTAAAATGAGTACAATTGTGTGAAAGGGACTGGGGGTGGGGTGGGGCAGGGGAGGAGGTTGAAAATGAAAGATGGTGGAGAGGAAGTAGGAAGAAAAGGTCTGAAGGAATGTACTTCTTGCCCCTCAATGCCCCTTGATGATTTCTTTGGTGTGGAGGATGATAGCTGGTTTTGTTACAATCTCCTGTTTCAGCCCGTTTTTGGATGTCTCCTGAGCGTAATTATAACACCACAATTTACAGCCTGGCCAGGAACCTATATAGTAGGAAAGGAGAGTAGTGGTGTGGGGGTAGGGAGAGAAGAGGATGTGTAACTAATTGGCTACTGCCTTTCACTACCTCACTGGGTTCTTTTGGAGACACGTCTCTGGTTGCTGTTTGGAGTCAGTGATATTTCTTTTGTGATGGGTTGGTAGGAGGAGAGCTGACTCCCAAGTTATGCAGGGAGTGTGTGTTTTGCACCAATGCACTTAATAATCTGCTGGGCGATTATGTTCTGAAACTCTGACTCATTCATTGTTTCTCTTATCCTTTGCTGAGGGTTGTGCAAACCTCCCCAGGAGCCTAGAAAATGATTTACGTTACTTTTGGGCCCTGTAGGAATGCGTCCCAAAACAAAACTTGTAGTTAGCCCAAATCCTGTGGAATGGTCTCGAATAGTGCTGCCATTTGTTTGCAAAGTCAGGTAGATTGGTGATCCTGTGCTACTCCCAGCCTGGCAACCTTTGAGGTTTTCCACCTCCAACCAGCTGATTATTTAGATTGTCTGAGAACTGGGACTCTGGTGACCTTAAAGCGTGATTTGCCCTAAAGGAATATCGGTTTAAGTTCTCCCTGGTGGAGGAACAAACAGCTCAGATTACACGGGTTTCCTTGTTGGTGGGGGTTACTCGTCTCACCCTGTTGCACAGCCCTGGAGATCCTTTTATCTGTGAACCAGTGGCCCCTGCTGAAGGCTAGAGCTGCTTGTTTTGGAAAAGCGTATGCAGGCAAAAGGCCGCAGGCACTGCTCCTCACTGCTCATTGGCCGCCCTGTTACTACCCGGAAAAGGAGGAGGGGAGGAGCTACCAAACAGCTGATGGAGTGTGTGACAAGAGTGTGTTTATATACAAAAGAGGTGGGGGCTGGGGAGAGCCTGTGAGTGGTGTTACAGGACCAAGTGTGCTTCCAAGGGGCAAAAAGGAGAGGAAATCTGACTTGTTATAAAATAAATGTTCGGAAAGATTAGGGTTAAATCGCAAAAGTGGATGTGGTAATGGGACTTGACATACCCCATGGTGTTAAGATTTTGGAATTTATAATACCAAGATTTCAAAGATTCTTTTTTTTCAGAGGGAGTACAGTCACAAAACAGGATTCATCACTTCAAATGCACTGAACTGACTCATGCAGGGATTCAAAAGTATGGTAGAAATGTAAGCCTCCCTTAGAAAAGCTTCAAGAGTGATGATAGAAAGGGGTAGTGTCTTATACTAAGTTCATTAACGGCATTAGTGAATTTTACAGAATCATTGGTGTCTGCTTTAGGGTTCCAGAAGCATTCTATAACAAATTCAAACTCTCAAATGTGTGAGCACTCCTTTTGTGCCAGGTATGGTGCTTGGAGTTTAGTGAAAAATTCAGTGTAGGTGGTTGTGGTGCTTATGTAATTAGTTAAAAATTTTTTTTTCTTTAAATCAGAAAGGACAGAGTGTGTTTATGTTGGGTCAGCACGATATATATCACCTTGCTTTTTGAGTAACTTGTATTTACGCTCAGAGTGAACTTTTCAAGAAATTAGAAAGGTTAAAGTGAATTTTATGTGATGGGATGTGTATGGAGATCTCTACTCTTGTTATTTTAAAGATATTAAAAAACTAAAACATTAAAATGTGTAGCCATTTGTCTTTGACTTCAACTTTTGGTATTTTGCTGTTAATCAGTAGTTATTCCCTAAGTTAGTAGTCTTTGTTACTCTTTAATTTGTGTTCAGAGTGTAGATAATTCTGTAATCTTTTAACTAGCTCCAGTGTCAGTTGAGAACCTGTGATTTGCCTTTTCTTTTCTGTGGCCTCTGTTTTAGTGACACGATGAGATGAAGTTGGAACAGTTCTATGATCTTCAAGCTGAAAGTTAAAGATTTGGCAACTCCCAGTGTTCTGAATTTGTCTTCCCTGCCTAGATTTTGGTGACAAATATAACATACTGGTACTTATTTTGGTTAAGCAGGAACCTACATGAGTAAGCATTCACAGCTTCAGAACATCTGATTCCTGCAGAGCAGTTCTAGTAAATTACACGCAAGCCTAAAAATTCAACTTTTAGGGGAAAAAATGTTTTGCAGATGTGACCCATAAATGTCCCTTCCGTATTTGTGTGCGTGTTAGAACAACCTAGATTTGTTCCTTTTTCTAGTGGTGCAATTTTCTTAGCCCCTTGACCTGCGTTTTACATATATTTTTAAAATTTGATATCTTGTTCACTCTTAATAGATTTGATGGTTCCAGGAATCACTG